GAGGACTGGGAAGAAGATTGATACAGCTAACCGACGACCTTAAACAAGGAAAGAAGGTGACGTTCCAGGAATTAAAGCGAGAAACCGAGAATAGGGACAACTGGAGAGCTCTTTTTGGGCAGAGCAATGGACCTGTTGTAAGACAGAACACTTAATAATAATAATAAAGAACAGAGTAAATATAAATTTTCATTCATTTTTAACTCATCTTAAGTATATCCTACTTACTTAAGCGCTAAATTTCTAAAAAGGAAAAGCAGTAATATATAGTGCGATATTTTATAAAGACGCAACACATACTTTCTGTGCGAGTGGAAACTGGCGTAGGTGAAGCTCTTGCCCTCGTATTCACCGAAGAAGCGACTGTCTCCAAGAATGATGTGGTAAATCTCATTTCCCGAGCACTTCCCATACAACCTATGCCAGTCTTCTACGGATGTCTCACCTTCCCTGTGAACGGTACGTCCATTTATTAAACAGTCGCCATCGCCAAGGCACGCGGCTCGCGGGTTTCAAAACCGGCCGAGGTCGATGGATTTTTAAGGGCGATAAAAATCTGTAGCACAATTTCTTTCAGAGGGGAAGTAAAGATGGTGGTGGCACGTCGTATATTTACGGCACGTAAAACAGCATGAACGAGATGATTTTAAATTGTATTTTGGATCCGTGTCCCAGGCTACGAAGATATCAACTTAAATTACGAATAAATATGTAATTCAGGGCAAATAAAAATTTCCATCACAGTCAAAGAATTTTTTTTGATTTTAATAATTACATTAAAAATAAAAAAATATTTTATAGGTTGTAAGAATACAGCAGATAAGTAAAGTGGACTGATAAGATGTCCTTAAACCAAAGGACAAGGATACAATTCGTAAAAAAAATACGAATAATGCTTTTAAGTACATAAAAGTAAATATTATATTTGGGAAAATTATGATAAAAAAAATGTTAAACATAAAATAACTATTACAATATATTCTGTTTGCTTAAGATGGATAACTGAAGATTGTCACTCACTGTCCACGCGACGTATGCAGCAGTAAGGTGACGAGGGTGGACGCTCCCGGACACGTGCAATTGTTAGCAAGAAGGGCGTACTTAAATTCATCTTCACAGACTACGTGTTCGGCAAACTTTACGTGCAGTTTATTCTCCGGTCGGAAGATCTGTACATACTGAGGTACATCTGGTGCAAAATCTTTCACGGCCCACGATCTTAGAATAGTGTGTTCATCCTGAAATACAAAATTTTACAGTAGCGGATTTAAATACAGTTGCTAAACTAGCTTAATTTATGATTTGAGCATTTCGCGGCGGTGAGTACGAAGACGGCCGTCTTTACCTTACTTTAACAAAGAAATGTTAATATCTTCAGACTCAACGCTGTGAAAACCTCAAATCCTACGTTAAATGTTCTGTTATATAAGTAGTAAGATGACCTGGACTTGTGTTCGGTCCATTGCACGGCAACTCGGAGGAATCCAAACAAACTGACATGCACAGAGTATTATCTGATCTGTGATCTTAGAGTTTATGTGGTCCACGAATACTACGATTGACTATTACAGTCCTTTCTAATTTTTAATTCTGGTAAAACTGCAATATATTTACTAGAAGTACTAACAGCTGCAGCTTTGTCAGCGTAGTTCCTTGCTGCAAGAATAAAGCACGCTTCCGATTCATTCATACGCGCTCTTCCAAGGTCTCCGTCTTTCAGGCATGAACCCTGGATGTAGATAACTCTTTGTGCCCAAAGAGGTACTTGCAGGATCATCCTCATGGTTGTATCAAGCTCCATAGGAGATAGAAGGACCACGTAGTAGTCCTGAAAGTCAGAATTGCCCTATTTTCATCCGCCATTTTCTTATTTTAGCAGAGAAATGGCTGAAAATATTAAACCTACCATAACCTCACTTTTTTTCAGTGTTGAAGGCAGGAGAGTTTTATGAATGAAATGGTCACTTTTAAGAAAAAATAATACCCATTTATTGTTCAGTGACTTATTAATAGTATTCCTAGGCTATAAAATGCACTCCATCTACTATAAGAAGGAAGTAACTTTATAATTATACGTTGAAATGAACTAGGTCTTCGTGTTAATGTATTTTAAAAAGAAGAATTTTAATCCAGAAAAATGTTTCTGAATCGCTAAGATTGTTCCAATGTTTGATTCTTAAATTATTTTTCAATAATAATCAATAACACAGGTTTCAAAATAATTTCCTCGCGCAAATTTACATTTACATAAATAAAGAAGTACAAACATTTATTTCTTCAGCAAGATTAATTATAAATTAAATTTTAAAAAAAAAATATAGCAGTAATGTATCGTGTAGCAAAATTTATTGTCCTGCATGCGAGCGAAACACATTTAATCATCAAGACGACCCAATTTTAACCTCACTTTTTTTTGCATCTACCTGTAGCAAGGGATGGGCGTAGAATTCATTTAGGAAGTCCATGATTGTGTCAGCATGTAAGTTAGTACTGCACACCACCACATGTTTCTCTGACTGCGCCCTGTGTGAAGAATATGATCCACCCAGTTTCTGACGTTCCATCCATATGAATGCCAACTGCTCAAACTGCCACCGAGAAACAGAACAACATCGTATTGCACAGCACAAGATTAAAGTGCCATCTGGTGATATTCTACCTAACTTTTCTTGTTGTTTTGATTAAATATTTACTCACGTATGGACACGATAAATGCAAAAGAAATGCATGTTACATTTCCACAAACAGCCCAAAGAAATTGGGAAAAATGGAACCACAAAGTTATACAATATTTCAATCGTTTCACTTAAAATTTCATGTCTTAATTACTTGCGTTTATATTTGAATACACGTCTTTTTTTGTAGACGAAAGATTTTGTTTGGTCATATTATCAGCACTGTGCTGGTAACATGGCGAAAAGCATACCTTTCAGAAAATAGTTCTTTTCTGGCACCAATTATGAAAACGTCACATTTTTTAAATGTAGCTAATGAGCCCAAAAGTAGACGTGGACATCCCAAAAATCTAACCTTCGTCTATGGGCGGGAAATTTCTGGGTCCGATTTCTCACTCAGTCAGTTATGCCAACCATTTTGGTACGATTTAAAAAAAAAAGTTAAATCTCCAATATCAAATTTGCGATGCTGTAAAGTTGGTACTTTTTTTTAGATAGACTCACAGACACGTAGATAAATAATTACGATTTATAGATGAAGTCATGTATTTTAAGGAAAATATAACCGGTACTGGCTCCAGTAACATTTTTCTAACACTGTTTTGTGCTTTCGGAAATTAATTCGCTACAAACATTTCAGAGGAGTGTCTATTTGCATAAATTTGCATCGTATTCCCGTGTTTGAACAGCCAGTGCCTAGTACGTCGAATTAAATTCATAACACGAGTCAGACTACTGTTGTGGAACACTTGATAATTTAATTGCTACGTAACGAACGTCAAATATCCTCTTTGACATCTCTGATGGTAACATATCCGAATGGATTCACGTACGCAAAGAAAATGGTGGTTGAGTTACAATCAGAAACTCGTAAAACAATTAATACCTTTTGTAATCTTATCACCTAATGGAGGTGCGTGACATTCTTTGGACGTAATTAAACACGGATTTTTAGTAATTTTATTTTATTATACCCAATATAGTTAATTCCTATTTTCTCGATTTTAAGACTCACTTTTTACATTTTTCAATAATTCTTATATCCGGGTGTATCTTACATTTGGTGGCGTATTAATATGGAGAAAATACGGTATACTGTAATATACAAATGCTATTAACACTAAAAATATAGTTATTTTAAAATATAATTAACCAGATGTTTACGAACACTGACCTGTGTTGGCAGTACTATCAGAGCAATGCAAATCATGAAGACCATGTACATCTGTGACGGCCAGATGTCTGGAACGAAATCTCCGTACCCCACAGTTGAGAAAGTTACCACGACGTAGTAGGTGGCTTGGAAAAGGTTCAGATGTCTGTGACCAGCTCGCTGGAAGTGTTGGATACCACAGACACTACACAAAAACAACTCGGTTCAATGTCTGCAACGAAGTGCTGTATAGGAGGATATTAGGAGCTGAGACACGTACTTTCGGGCTGGGAAACAAGAAAAGGCACATAATTTTTATGGAAAAGTCTCTTGGAAGATGGTTAACCCTTTGAAGCCGAAGATCGTCTGAATATTATTTATGAATTCAGACCGTACCGCGAAGAAAACACTACACCTCACAATTACGAAAATCAGCTGGTTAACCCTTTGAAGCCGAAGCTCGTCTTCATAATATTTACGAATCCAGACCGTACCGCGAAGAAAACACTTCACTTAACCATTAGAAGTCGAATCAGGCGGTACCACATAAGATTTAACAAAAGAACATCCCGGTGAAAGCCTTAAGCATAGTTACTGTTCGTTTCGCATGTAATTTGTCAGAAAAACCGCGAAGTTTCAAATGCAATCGAAAATAAAGAAACGAAAATCCGTGATTGGCAATCACTTCTGATTCGTAAAGACGACAGCTTTTTTTAAATAATGCTCCAAATGCTCTCGTAGAAGTTGACCGACGTTTCAGAGGTGCTTACTGCCTCAATCATCGCCCTACACGGCGTAATATCCCAGAAGACAATCATTACACTGGTAGGTACGTATAAAAGAGACATCGTTTCTAGGCCGCTACTCACTCCAGTATCCCAAAAGCCAATCAGTTGCGGACATTTTGTATTAACGAGCAGAACACGTGTTCATTTTCGCATCCCAATAATTTGCTGCTGTTAACGAACACAGTACTGAAGAGGCTACGTTGCAAATACAGGGTTATTCATAATTCCCTGATACATTACAAAACATCGCTAAAATTGAATGGTGCAATGGATGGTAAAATATGACATGCCGATAGAAAGAGAATCTCTCAAAGTTTATTTTACATACATCATAAATGCGATCAAGGTTGTTTTTCAAATGAAAATACTCTCTCCTTCATAAAATAAATTTTAGTCACGATTTTAATTTGGCTTGTTCTACGTGTGGCCAAATCATAATTCGTCTAAGGACACGTAGAACACATTTTATCCTATGAGGGTCCTCGCACTTACCTTGTAAAGACGAGACACAGCAAAGTAGCCGACAAAATCATTAGTTGGTGTGACAGAGCTGACTGCGATTTCTGCATAGCTCGGTGTAGGTCGTTCTACAAAGAGGGATACGAAGAAAACTCCATTAGTTGAAAGGAAATTGTATTAGTTACTGCTCTTGTATCAATAATTCAATAATGTTCTAAAACAGCTGGCACAAATGCGCACTCGACACGATCGATGGAGGATGTCGTGTTTGCCCGGAAGAAGTAAACGTCATATCTACTTTATATCAAAATTGTGTTTCATAAACGTCGATTCATTACATCGAAATCTCACAGACTATTTTTATATTGATATGTTTCCATTTTTTCTCTAAATGCTTGAAGTAAATGAAAAAAAATATTACATTTCTCTCTATATACAACAAATAAAAATGGATGAAAATTAGTGTACTCTTTCACGTTGCGTAGTCTTGAAAAAATTAATCAAAATTTTACAGCTGTTCACATCTGGACAGTAACTTTGACGCTTAGAACCTTCGTACGAAATCTTTAAATCAATGCACAAAGGGAAGTAAACTCGAGGACAGATAATCTACCACTAAATCGAACGTTATTATTTATAAAATTTTATAAATTATTTAAATATTTGTGTCTTATAGTACAATATAGCATACAAACAAATTAAATTATATTTTAAAGCTCTGTTATGTTAATAAGAGTTTAGAAACTTAAGTTTAATCCACAACAACAACTGCTTGACACCAAATTCAGGATCTTATTAGTAAAATTTAAATAAACTGTTCCCTCCACATCAGTTTTGTAATTAAAACTGATGTTTTCGCGACTTTTTATAAATTAATGATTGATAAGATTATATAAAGTGTAATTTTAATTAATATATTACGACAAAACCTGTAGATATTTAGAAAAAAACTGATTTACAACAGAAAAAGTTTCTAAGCGTATTTTTTCAAGGTCATTTCGAATGTGTACAACTGTTTCAGAACTTTTAGTTAATGAGACATTCTTTTCAGTGTCGTAACTGAAGTAGTTGAGTGTCCTGCAAAAGACCAGGATAGAACCAGTGCAGGTCCCAACGTCTAAGAGTAAAGACTTATTTTATTTTTGCTTTTAAGAAAGGAACAAGGAAATAGGAAAATAAAAACAAAGCAGAGTCTTCTTCCATCCTCCACTCCTCTGTTTCTCCTACTTTCACAAGATGTGAAGTCCCACCTCAACAGAAGTGAGTAATCGCGTAAAATCGAAGTTAAAATGCGATTGTGCGTAATTTCGTGGCTTAAACTCCCAGAAAACCGCCCGCAGATCCTCGAATGTTCCAGTCTCTATGCATTCGCGTTTGTGCGATGTGTTAGGGCCCCACTGCTGCCTCTGATGTGCAGATTTAAATAAGGCGAGGTCAGGCCAATCCCTTTTTCATGTGACTGGCCCTTGTAGTTAATTGATACAATTAATTAAACTCACACGTTTTCCAAAACGAGATAATAATTATTATACACAGCGACAAGATGGCTGTCTTCTGGGTTGTATCGCCGCGTAGTCTGGTACATGTTTATTAACAGCGTTACAGCCCGGAAGAACCTGAAATCTCACACAGAATAAAGTCTTCTATACTTACAAACATATTTTGAAGAGAATGTTTTGCGAGCCAGCAGTTCAAGAAGACAGGAATAAATAGATTTCTCAGCGGAGGCCAAAGTAACTGAAACAAAGGAACAGAACAATGCGCAGAAAGTCACGGAACGTAAGCATTGGCACTTAGTGAGTTGGGGGAATCTAGTGCAGGTGCTCAAAATGACCACCGTTAGCTTCGTGGCGCTGTTGGCAGTAGTGAACAACAGACTGACAAGAGCGCATCAAAGTTGCTGCTGTGCATAAATCTTTTTATGGGGGACAACAGTCACGTCGGAAGCACGCAAGTAAAACATTTCTACCACTTAAGAGTGAAAGTGTCTAGGTTAAATTAAGTTAGGTTAGGTTAGTGACGCCACTGCCTCAGCTGGACGAGGTTAGGTTAAGGAAAGCTACGTAAAATAACACACGTTCCATCACCAGATTCAACCGACGTTGAATATTAACGTTACGGATGACATGACATGATTTTTATAAACTAGTATTACAGTCGATTGATTTAAACGTCTATATTAATACACAGGATGATTCAAAACAGGCCTGCCATACACTGAGGAATGATTCGGAAGGCAAATTATATTAAAAATGTTAATACGGATAACACCTTCAACAGAAACTCACCAGTGCTACCATCTGTCGGTACACCTAGGCACATAAGGAACATCTTAAAACGTCCGTAGCTCCGGAATGGTTGGAAATATTAATATTTTAATTCGAAATTACCTCTCGAATCACCTCCGATATATCGATTGGGAAACATGGTGTATATAATCAACATTCCAAAATCAGTAATACGTATTTAGAAAATAAAATATGTAACACTGAATCTGACAATTTATTCTCCAAAACGTAACATGGCAACCTTAATACAGTACTTCAACTTACCGTCAACAAGAAGGGGATTGTGTTTATCAGCTCGAGCAGGAAATAGAAGGACAGTAACTGCTGCCAGACATTACCCTGAAACAAAAGACGAACAGGTCATGCGTACGAAAAGAAGCTTCAAACATGAATGCATGTTAGCAACTGTAAGCATAGCCCAACAGTTCTGGAGCGTTCATCAGCATTTAATGTTTGACCAATGTGAATGGCGGGAGAATTTCGCTCGCAGGAACTCCCCTGACGGATTCCCCACCCAATGACGCGCTCAAAAAGCATATGCAGATTTTCGCGTGAAATATCCGTTGTTGGTATTTGATCTTAGGGAAAAAGTTGAATGTGTCAACAAATTCCATTAAAATTCTTCCCCAGACAAACATCTAGAAACCAGACGTTGTATTAGATTCTAGGGCGTTGTTCTAGAAGTAAACACAGCGGAAACCAAGTCTCGTTGTCAGTCATCAAACTTTTATTTTTTTATTTGTAGTGTTCTGTCTGAAGACAGGTCCATATGAACAGGATCCTTCCATCCTTTTCTCGGACTGGGACCTGTTCATATACGTTCTTGGCAGATGATCCAGAAGTGGTTTGCCATTGCCTTCGTCTGTGTGTGAATGGAGTAATTGTTGGGATGCAACGGAGGAAAACTCCGTGTTGCCTAGACCAAGGCCTTGCCCAACACAAGTTATAAATTCCGGCACCACCGGGAATTGAACCCGGGACCCCAGGCTTACAAGGCTAGTGTTCTGACCGCTAGACCACCGTGGCGGTCAGTTCTCAGTACAAAAAAAAAGTTTTTCCCGTCAACTTTGACACTTTCTTCGTGAGCATTATGTTTCATAACATGTGGCATAGGCATTCTCGCGTCACTTTCACCCATCTACCTTCACGGGGGTGACATTAAAGCTCACCAAAGCGTGAAGCCGGTGAGTCATTTTGTTCTAGGTCCTATGTAATCCAAACTACAGGACAAAATCGGTGGTACTAAATCTAAGTTCAACTAATGAAGTAACAAGGGTTAGGTCACATTTGAAAAATCCTTGCTACCTTTTTCAGTTCAGTATAATTTATGTTCCCGTCTGCTATCTGATATCGCGAAGATCAAAGACACAACGTTATCTATCATTTTATGTCTTGGGCGTGAAACTTGATCTCACGCGTTAATGGAACAACAGAGAATAAGTCTAGACCTTAAGAGGGACAAAGTAACAGGAAAATGGAGAAAATTACATAATAGGCTCCATAATTTTACTCCTCGTAAACTATTATCATTATAAACAACTAGAGAATAAATAAATAGGCAGGACTTTTAGCACGCACGGGGTTAATGAGAATATCTCACACAATTTTACCTATTAAATTCATTTTCGATAAATGTGGTTGGTGATTGGGTTTATCTGGCTCAGAAGAGGGGCAGATGGTGGGCTCTTTTAAACATGGTGATGACCTCGTTGTATAAAAGGCGGGTAACTACTTTAACCCTTTGAAGCCGAAGATCGTCTGAATATTATTTACGAATTTAGTCCGTACCGCGAAGAAAACACTACACCTCACCATTACGAAAATCAGCTGGTTAACCCTTTGAAGCCGAAGCTCGTCTTCATAATATTTACGAATCCAGACCGTACCGCGAAGAAAACACTTCACTTAACCATTAGAAGTCGAATCAGGCGGTACCACGTAAGATTTAACAAAAGAATATCCCGGTCAAAGCCTTAATAGCTACGCGTCCTAAAAGGTATCCAAGAAAGACTCTTGAGGAGTTAATTATGTTGGAGTAACTGAGGGAAAAATGTACGCCTCTATCAGACGGAACATTTCCAAGATTGAATCGAGGTTCAACCACAAGAACGTGAGGTACATTAATTTTATATTATATATTCAACAAAAGAATGTAAGAGAAAATGTCGAAACGCGCAGTTTTCGAAGATATTCGGATAATCAAAGCGCCGAATTTAGAGTGAATGAATTATTTTATTGTATCGTGTTATGTGGTCATTAGCCGATATGGCCAGATATCTACTCCAGAATGAAAAATTCATATCTGAAAAGGAAATTCAACGCAGAATTCGTCTTCTGAATGGGGCCTTACCACACACTTAAAACGACGAATGACACTCGCTAAAAATCACAAATACATCAGAGAAATTTCATAAAATATTAAATAGACGTATCTCATCGTGGAAACATTTTATTTAAGTCTAGAGGCTCCTAATTGGTGTTTCCGTTAACGTATGAAAAGAACGCCAGTCAATAATATTAACAGTATCAATAATTGAGATGATAAAGTTGCGTCATATTGTGATAAATATATATTTGCTTAAAACTTGTCAGTCTAATCACAATAAATTCCTATTAAATATTAAAATATTACCATAATTAACATTTAAATATTTAAAATATATTAAATGATGTTCTCTATCGAAATGTTCGATTTCCATTACATCATCACTTTTTACACGACATGTTTCAGTTCTAAAAGAACCATCTTCAGGTGTATAAAATTATATAAACTTAAATATAATTTCTTAAATGCAACTTTTAGTCAGATGTTTATCAGATTTCAAATGAT